AGCACCGGTGCTACCAAGTAAAAAAGTTAATTTCGAGCCCTGCAATGTAAGGAGAGTTTACTCGCACGTGACTTGTTTTAGCTCTTTTGGTCTGATTAGAAACTTTGCAGTGTGAAAGTGAACCGCTCCAAGAGCAAAGAGCAACAATGTAACATTTGAAATCCCTGTTTCAGAACAACTGAATCGATTCACAGTTGTGAGAGCACCCTCAATTAATAAATTGAGCTATTTGATTCATCTAGTAAAACAGTTCCAATTTAAAACGGCACTAAACATTGCTGAAAAAGAGTCAGTTTTTTCTAATATCATTCTAGTACTGTCCACTAACATCCATACAAATACATCCACAGCAATACAAATACACCAGCAAAATCTCAGTTGACCCATTGCACAGTGCAAAAACATCAACTTGTCAAATAAAACTCATAAAACTCATAAATCATTTTACTAATTAAAATGCAGTTGTAATAAAAATTTTGCTAATTTAATCTCTAAAATTATTAATCAATTAAATTGATAACACATTATTTTGGACAACAAACTACATCAACCAATAAATAAAAAAAACAAAAAAAAAAAAAAAAAAAACCAACCTAATAAATCTGAAATAAGACACAACAAGTGTGAAAAGCATCCCTCAGATTTGCTCTGCCTCAAGTGAGCCTACAGTAAAGTCACACTGCAGCATTGAACAGTGAGCAGAAGCCCCGTCGCTCTGATGTGGTCTGATCTCACTCACTTCACCTGCACTTGTGACTCTTATAATGTGTGTGCAATGCAAACACACACGCCACACACTACCGACAGCACAACTATTCACCTCTGAGCAAACAGCCAGATATGAAACCCATGAGCTCTCCGTCAGCCCGTGTCAAGCTATTTACTACATTTCATTTGCAAACTCCAGCGATTGCCTGATTTCTCGATATGAACCCAGCTCTCGACACAAGTGTTTGATGAGTGCGCACTACTAGCGACGAAAGCACAGTATAGTAGACTGGTTTCCGATTGGTTTCCTGTCAAACCACAACAGTCAGACATGTGTGATAGCCACAACAACCTTTCTGTGAAAAGCCCAGACAGGCACGCTTTGATGTTATCCTCTGAAAAGTTGAATAAGACGCCTATATTTAAAAGATCTCAGCGACCTTTTAGCTGAATTAGGAGCCAAAAACATTTGGAATTGTGAAAATATCAAAACCGTGAGAGCATATAGTGCTTTCATAATCTTAATAGAGTTGGGCCGATGGCCAATAGACAACATGATGCTGAGCCGGCATCGCCGATCCACCTTCCCGCCCCCGTCGCAAACCCGCTCGCGAAAAATACACACTGAGGCCACATTTACATCAATAGGTCTTACTGTAAGAATGGCATTTTAGAACGAAACTGATCCACATGCACACTGTGTTTTACCTAGCACTTTTGAACAGCCCTCTGTCCGCTAAAAATGCACATCACATGACCACACACACACAAACAGACAGAGCCACACACACAGCCACAATGTCATGCGCTCCTCTGAGTTCCAGGCAGAGAGTAGTGACCGTTGGATTGCATCTCACTATAGTTGTTAAACGTGATATTCAGACATCCCTAGTCTCCCGGAAGTTCAGGAAGTCTCTATGCATTTGCTGGACTCATAATGCTCGCAAACGAGTAATAATCTCCATTAAATGGTGCATCTCCCTCCCGGTCCTCAAATAAGTCACACACCCTTCTCACCCCCGGATCCCTCCTCGCTCTTCAGACACGTCGTGCACACTCCAAGAACATTCCCCTCCCCCACCCCCCGCTTTTCACATGATGATGATTGGCTAAATTGGCTAAATAATATAAATAGGCTAAATAATAAATAAAATAAATAATAAATAAAATAAATTGGCTAAATAATACTACTTTACAAATTGTATTGTATATGAATACTAAATTCATATACAATACAACTTGTAAAGTAGTATTATCTGTCTTTTAGCAGATGTATTATATGAGAGACTTGCTTTGCTAATCCAATTAGATCCACTTATTTAAAGATTGTAAACATTAAATAAAAATTAAAAAGATGTTATTTTACAATTCATATATTAAGTGTTTAGTTACAATACTCCCAAAACCACTCCACATAAACAGATATTTTACCAAGTTCTGTGCAAAAATGGCAAAAAAAAAAAAAAGTCCAATACTGCTGTCCACAAAACACAGATGTTTTCTATATAAACCCACACTTTCCTTTTACATTTTAATTCATAAAGATGAACGAGGAACTGCTCAGATTAAGATGAAGAGTATAAAAAATGGATAGCAAATGATTTATTATCTGATGTAATAACAACACAACTGATTTCCATGTGTAAATAAATCAGTTCTGCTCACCGGCGGTCAACAGCAGGCCATAAACGATGCTTATATACCTCAAGCTGAACATAACCCAGGATTTAATAGTACTTTAAGGCTTGCGGTTTGAGAAGCGATATGAAAATGCCAAACCAACATGTCATGTTACAAGAGCAAGCCTTCCTGTTTCCTAAATTTATATATCATAAACAGCAGTGGGTTGAAACTGAAACTACACATGCACAAGGATGGTTGAAAGTGAAAAAACATGCATAGTATATTAGTATAGTAAATTGCTTTGCTTGAACATTCAAACCCAACTAAAATGTTTAATTGGACTTTAAGGCCCTGGATTACATTGGTTTTAGTGTAATTCTCAATATTATTGCTTACACAGCTTAAAACTAAAAAGTAAAAATCACTGACTAAAGGGAAAACAAAGTGCCTTTTCCATAGATTTACTGTAGCACCAGTAACTAGAGCTGTCAAAAGTACAGACTTCAGTACTTTCAGCATTTTCCCACTATTATGTTCGTGAACACCACTGATTGGCTGATGTGTTTAAGTGCTCAACAGAAATGACTGTGATTGGCTCAAAGGGTGTTTCACTCAACAACTCTCAAAATGTAAACAGAAAATGGACGTTCTTAAGGCATTACCTTTATAGATAACTCTACCAGTAATGACAAGACTGGGGGATATCCATAGGAAATGCACCATATTAGTAATGTAGGCAACTTTTTAAAAGTTTTATATAATTACAGTAATTGTTATCAAGCTATAGCAATCTTGAATTTGTTTTTGTATGTAAATGCGTTCAGGCTCAGTTTTTCATTCAATCATCATAAAAGCCAGAATGTTTCCATGGTATTTTAACTTAACAGGGTAAAATAAAGCACGATTAGTTTTACTTATGATTATTATAGTCTAAATGATATTATGGAAGACCCTGCTTAGGTTTCATTAAATAAAAGGAAGATTTTTTTATCAAATATTTACACATTTAAAGAAAGAAATTCTAGCAAAAAATTCTTAATTCACTTCAAAGGTTAACAAATATTTATCCTCATATATTTTGTACCTCATAATTGTGAAATTTTGGTTTACTGTGAAAAATCTGGCTGACACACTTTAAGTTTCAATAATTAAAGGATTTAAATTGAAAATTAGTTGCCTGGTTTTTACACACTTTACTTGGCAATCAAAAAATATGAACTGAACTTTCTAATTTGACAGGAAATTTAACATTTATTGTGATGACTACCAATAAACCACTGATATAAAAATGTAGTTTGATTAGTTTTTGACTATATTGCTGAGCCATACACATTCACAAATTGCAATCTGATTGACACGATTGTCAAGTTTTGATAGCAAAAGAGTTTAAATGAATGATTAGTTGCCTGTTTTCTACAAACTTCACTTGCCAACAAGAAAAATCTGAATGTAACTTGAAAATTTAACATTTATTGTGATGACTATCAATAATCCACTGATATAAACATTTATTTTGATCATTTTTTTGGACATATCTCATAGCCGTACATTTACAAATTGCAATCTGGTAGACAAGATTGTCAAGTTTTGATAATAAAAGTGTTAAGAAAATGAAATAGTTTCTTGATTTTTACAAACTTTTCTTGCCAACAAAAAAATCAGAACTTGGAAATTTTACATTTATCGGGATGACCATCAATAATCCCCTGATATAAAAATGTATTTCCATCATTTTTTAACCATGTCTCCTAGCCATACATTCACAAACAGCAATCTGATTGACAAGATTGTCAAGTTAAAAAGAGTTTAAATGAATGATTAATTGCTTGGTTTCTACAAACTTTACTTGCCAATTTTTTTTTTACTTAACCTGGAAATTTTACATTTATTGTGATAACTATTAATAATCCACGGACATAAAAATTTATTTTGATCCATTTTTGGAAATCACATAATTGCAAACTGGTTGACACGATTGTCAAGTTTTGATAACAAAATAGTTTAATTGAATGATTAGTTGCCCGGTTTCTACAAACTTTACTTGCCAACAAAATAAAATCTAAATTTAACTTGAAAATTTGACATTGTGATGACTATCAATAATCCACACACACACACACACATACATATATATACATATATATATATATATATATATATATATATATATATATATTTTTTTTTTTTTTATAATTTTTGGCCAAAACGTCTAGCCGTATGTTGACAAATTGCATTTTGGTTGACATGATTGTCAAGATTATGATAATAACACAAATTAAATGAACAATAAGTTGCCTGTTTTCTACAAACTAACAAATCTGAACTTAACTAGGAAATTTTACATTTATTGTGAAAACTATTAATAATAATTAATAATTTTCATCATTTTTTGTACATAAAGCATAGCCATACATTCAGAAATTGCAATCTGGTTGACATGATTGGCAAGTTTTGATAATAAAAGAGTTTAAATGAACAATTAGTTCCTTGATTTCTACAAATTTTACTTGACAAAAAAATCTGAACAGAACTTGTGATGATCAATAATCCATAAGTTATAAACATTTATTTTTACCGTTTTTTGACCATTTCACCAAGCCGTACATTCACAAATAGCAACACAAAGCATGCATCAGGCTTTAAAATTACAATTAGCATTGGCAACTCACCTTGTTCATATTCCCCGCTTGCTGATTGATGGCATTGTGTGCCCCCATCTGTGGTGCACCCTGGGTAAGCGTCTCCGCCAATACGCTGCCAGAAACACCGACTCCCTGCCCACCGCCTGCTCCGACAGGTGCCCCCTGCATGCCCTGTCCCTGGTACTGCATCCCTGGAGCTGTCCTGCCTCTTCCGGCCGGTCCCATCACACCATTCATCATCTGCCCCTGCGGAGTCATGTTCTGCCCCATAAGTCCATGAGCCTGGTTGTTATTGTTCAGCATGGCCGGGTTGAAACCTGTATTCATGCCCATTCCAGGGCTGTTGTTGCCCTGACCGGTAGGGGTCCCGACAGGCTTGGGAGCTTGGGTCTGGTGTCCAGGTGAGCCCTGGCCCATGGGACTCTTGCCCAAGGCACCCAGTTGTCCACCCATACCAGACTGAGGGCTGAGGTTTCCACCCAGACCAGAGCCGCTCCCTGCCTGCAAGAGCTGGGATAGCTGCTTGTGCTTGGCAGCAGCATCCGGGACATTGCCCCCCATCCTGCTTCCAACCCCTCCATCTCCATTAGAGGGCATGGACATCAGGCCCAGGTCTCCGTTGGGTATCAGCTCATCTGGAAGATCATTTTCCAAGTCGAACAAGGACACGAAGTCTGGAGAAACAGGAAAAAGAGTCAATGAGCACAGCTTTTTTAACAAAGCAAAAAAATTAAATTTTTAGAGCATAATGCCCAATTCACACGGGGCGTGCAACGCGCGTGGCTGTGCATTTTTACTTCTGCGCGCTGTCTCTGTTGGTCTGCATTAACACTTCCGAAACGCTAGTTGGCAGTGAGGTTTAAATGTTCCTCTGTGTCGAGTTTCTTTGCTGCTTTTTTGCGTTTCCTGAACACTTCCGGGATGTACAAGTGGCTCAAACTCGCTCATTTTGAGGCAGGAACCGGCAGACGTGCAACAACTTTAACTATGAGGTAAACACAAAACAAAACTTTCCATCCGGAGCTCCTTCACGGGACTCCACACTGGTTAAAAAAAAAAAGAAAAAACGCTCGCGCCATTCGCGCGGTTCTTGGTCCCGCCCAGACTCGTCAGCGCTACCAAGCCGACCAATCACAGAGCTTACGCTACGCGTCGTTGCGACGTGTAGTTACATCTTTTGAGAGGTGCACGTCAGTGACGGCGAAGGGCTATGCGTCAGCGCCGTAGCATATGCCAGCGTTTGACGCAGAAGTATAAATCTGCCTTAAGGATCAGCCAATCAGATCGCTGTATGCAAATACACCAGCTAAGACAGTAGCCAACTGCGGACTAATTTCATTGGCTGACACTGCTATGACAATCGCGTCAGCCCGAACTTCAGACACGCCTTCTGTCAGGCATTGACGATGAAGCCCCGTGTGAATGGGGTGTAAAAGGTACAAAACCCTACATTGTTTTTGTGTTAACTCTTTGACATGTAATGTAAAACAGTATTTTTTTTTCCAGTGTAGCAATATTAACTAAAATGTAGTTGAGACCTGCATGCAACTACTTCATTGACCTTATTATTCGATGCAGAAGTTTTTGCGATTGTTTTAGAACTTCCGATTCAGTCGCCTATGGGAGAAATGACTAAGAATAATAAACGGCAGAAAACTGTCGAACTACTTGCTCTACAAACAACTGTTTGCATGATTATACAGACAAAGCAGAATCATATAAAAAGAAAATGTCAGTTTGCAACAAGCAGCATAACAAGCTTTTTTTGACGTCTAAAAATGAATGGAAGTGAATGAGACCTGAAGTGTTGAGCCAAAAAGAATCAAATGGCTGCGCCTTCTCGTACACGAAGAATAAGATGAACAGGGTTGTCATGATACTGGAATTTGGTACCAATCGGTACTGAAAAAAAAAAAGTCCATTTCCAACGAACATTTGAGTGCTGTGGAGCACGTTCTTGAACAGCGCTGATTTGCCGTTGTGTTCACGTGCTAAACAGAAATGACTGTGATTGGCCATGAAGGTCATCAATTCACTGAACTCACCGCTGTTTACTGAGGGAAACTTCAGATACAGGGACACTATGGAGTTTCAATGTCAATCAGATAGTTTGTCTTTAAGCTGACATACGTGCGATCCGCTGATAAATTGCGGCTTTGAAATGCTCCAGAATTCCAGTATCATGACAACCCTACTACTTTATTTGCATTTATCGGAAAACAACCAATAACTACAGAATACATAAGACGTGTTGCTTGTATAGCTTTGAATAGGGAAAAGCGTAACGTCAAAATGGCAAATGAAGCCCCGCCCACTAGAACAGGAGCCAATCAGCGATCAATATAGACTGACGATTCTCCAGGGGAGGGTGAGTTTCTAGGAATGAGTTTCTGCAGATTTTGTTTTATTTGAATGTTTAGAAAAACTATTAAAATGTGGTTTAATTTAATTCCTAATATGAAATTTAATCGTAAGCTTGGCAAGCAATTTTAGAGAATTTGATGTTTGCCCATTCAACCAAAATGCCCAAGCATACTGCCTGAGAGGCATTAGAAAGATGGCTGCCAAGTGAAATGACTTACTTTAAGGCTGATTTGAGCTTCTGCGCCGAGTGATTGGCGTGACCCACGGCATCTGCCTTGCGCGTAGACATTTGCATTTAGACTTTTGTGTGCTGTTTGTGTTGCACTTCAGAAAGACTAGCTGGCAGTAGGTTTTTGTTTCTCTCTGGCGTGTTTCTACGCAGGTGTTTTTTTTTAGCACTATCTCAATGTATAAGTAGCTGAAGCTCGCTCACTCAAGAGGCGGAAGCCGGCAGACGTGCAACACCTTTATTCAAAAGGAAAACACAAAAACAAAAACATCTAAGCTACTTCACAGGACCAGACACTTGTTAACACTCGTTTCAAAAAGTTTATGCCGGTCTCGGTCCCACCCACATTGGTCAGAGCCACCAAGCCAACCAATCACAGAGCTTACACTATGCATCAGTGCGACACGTAGGTAAATTTTTTTTGAGGGGTGCATGTCAGCGACAGCCACGGCAAGTGCTTTCGACAGAAGCATGTGCATGCACTTGATGCAGAAGTATAAATCAGCCGTTAAAGGGACTTTGAAACTGCACACCTCAGAATGTTCATCAGCCAATCAGAGTTAGGCATCAAACACCCCCGAATTACAATACATATTCATTAGCCCCTTTCACACAGTGATACCGGTAAATTTCTGGAAAATTTCCGGAACGACTTTACCGGTATATTGAAAAAAGCGCTGTTCACACAGGCGAGGACGTTATGGAAATTTTCCGGAAAAGAGCATTCACACATCAATTCCAAAATACCGGTAAATTCTGACATCATTCACCACAAATGAACTTTAAACGGCTGCGCTTGTATTTGTAAACATTTGACTAAATTACAAACTCTGTGGATGATCAATATTGTGAACAACTTTCGCAGGATCCCTTTCGCATGTCGAGATGTTCATAATATGTGCGTGTGCAGGAGCTCACAGGCTGTTTCACAGGCACACGCAAAGCTTGAAGGTAAACAAACAACGGCTTATCATAAGCATCTCATCGATGATTATTTACACAGTTGACATAAAGAAGAACATATAAACGTGATCTGACTAACTTCTAGCAGCTAAATGTGTCTGGAAAAATATTCAAAGGCTTTTATTCTCACAAACCGCACGGACGTAAATGCGTCTGACTGTTGTGATTGGCTAAAGCAGACGTCTCACGTCAGCACGTTCTAGACGTGCACGCGCTTATTACGGGAATCTTCCTTCTGCATTCACACAGCGCAGCATTCCGGCAAATTGCCGGTAATGTTACAACTTCTCTTTCCGGAAAATAGCCAGAACGAATTTACCGGTATTTTCAAAAAGGACCTGTTCACACATACAGACCTTTCCGGAAAATTGCCGGCAATTTTCCGGAAAGGTCTGTATGTGTGAAAGGGGCTAATTGACTGAATTTTGTGCACTTCTCAATGACTATTACACAATAAGATTTATCATAAATTGGAACCCTTGCCCTCATAACGGTCTTGACTTCATTCAAATTCAAGTTTCAACCAATAAAGGTCACCATTTGCAGACACACAACTTTATGTTTTGGTTTGAAAACTGCATGAGGAAGCGGACACTGCTGTAATGTCTCCTTATCCTCAGTGGGGAGCACTCAGATTCACGGCTAAAAATAAGAAATACTCCAGCCGCTCATCTGTTAGCCCGCGCACCCCCCTAGTCTTCAACAGCTGCCTGTCAGTCTGGTCTACCTCCTCACCACTGAGACCAGCACAGCCAGTCCACACAACAGACAGAAGAACAGCGTGTGCTCGAGTCTGACATTTTAAATAAATAACAACGCTAAATTACAAAAAAGACTAATAACTCAAAACAAACTACAGCAAAAAGCTAATCCACAGTGAAGTGAACTCAATCCAAACACATATTGATAGTCTGTATAACCACTGTAAGATGCTTTGGATAAAATCATCCATCAAATGTTTAAAAAAAGAAAAAAAAAAAAAAGAAAAACATTTTAATTCCAAGTTTAGAAAAATTATTAGCAGAAAAGTCCAAGTCTCAAGACGACTTTCGGTGAAGCATGTTACAGCATTTAAAAACATCTGGATAGAAAGTATAATAAAAGAACATGTCTTAAGATTTAAGACACTAACCGTACATTAACACCGAAAGCAGCGAGAGTGGCAAAGTAGCTGAAAATCATTCATTTTCAATGGGAGCTGGCGGCAATAAGCGGCACGCCTTCATTGGTGTGTGCATCGAGGAGAGTTGAAATCAAGTCAACTATATGGTAATGAGCTATGACACGGTTTCCCAGCAACCAATCAGATTGTTGAAGTCCACCGCTAGTGACGACTCCAGAGAACACAGTCCTATGAACTTTAGGGTGCTTTCACACCTGCCTTATTTAGTTTGATTGAATCGCACTAGAGTTCGTTTTCCCTCTTGGTGCGGTTCGTTTGGGCAGGTGAGAATGCAGCAATCGTACTTGAGTGCGCACCAAAATCGGACCAAATAAGCGGTGGTCTCGGTATGCTTTCAAACGAACCCTGGAGCGGTTCGTTTGTGGTGAGAATATGATCCGTACTAAAACAGGTCCAACCGCAAAAAGTACTGCGCCTTTTGGACTAATCCAGGTCGATACGCTGTGCATTATGGGATATGGAAGAAAAATATTTGTTGACAGCGCTTTACCAACAGAGAGAGGGGAAAACATAACCTGATGGATCGTTGATAATATTTCCGCAAGATGACCATGTCGCAATTTAGCTTAAGCCTCCTCCTGAAGTGACGAGCGATGCATTAAAACACTGTTTTCCAGCCGCAGCCGCGCTTCATTCTCGAAATGTATAGTTTGTCTAAAGCAGGCATACAATCAGTCAGCGCAGTCGTCCCTCCAGAGTAAAAACGACATTGTGTTTGCCGGTTTTGTTTACTTGCAGGAGTTCATTTGCATTTTCCCGCATATGAATTCTAACTAATCAATAAGCAGTTTAGCAAATATGTTCAACAACATCTGGCCAATGAGAGATGTGGATTTTGTCAGATGACTGCATTTTGGTTTGTTTCAACTGGTTCGGACCAAAGCCAGCAGTGTGGTGTGAAAACGACCCAAAGACGGCAGAAAATGCAACAATGT